CTGCTGTCAGCCGACGGTCAGGGCAGTGTGTGTGTGTATGTTTCCGAGAAAAGGTTTAACGTCCGTGCCTTTACTGCTAGGACCGGGGTCCCATCGCAGAGGGTGGCCAGCAGGCCAACAGACGCCCCGTTATATAGGAAGAGCTTATTACATCTTAGATTTCAGCTGCTAGAATTTCATAATTCCTTCGCAGCGGGCAGCCTTGAGGAAAGACTGAAAGATGCCCCAGTGGGTCCTGTCACCTGGGAGTGACACAGATCCAAACGCCCAAGCTCTTCCTATAACTGTCCCTTTAGACCGGCTGAAGTTCTTTTAAATTGTGCTTGGTTCTGTTACAGCAACTGAAGGAGTCAGGTTAAAGCTTAAACAGTTACAGGTTTATTGAGGAAGCTTATAAATCATATGGTTGCAATGGCTATTGTTCTATTTCTTAACTGCTAGCAAAATATAGATCTTAAAAGTGGTTCCAAAGAAGATAAAGATAGAAAAATAGAAATAATGGTACCAAGTAACAGCTTACTCTTTCTATGTGTACACTTAAGACAGAGGACCACATCCAGGTACCATTTTTACCCCCTTCTGTGCCTCTCGACTCCAGCATGTCAGGCCAGGGCCGGTCCCTCAATTCCTAGGAAAGACGAAAATACGAGGTGGGCGTCCCCATAGAACCTCGGGAGGTCAAACACCTAACCCGACCAGCAGGTAGAGGGTAGAATGACACTCAAAGTGAGTGTGTGCTGGGCCCATCTTTTATAATCATGGGGTCACGTATTTCTCTTTCTTATCTTAATTGCCAATTGATGCTGGTCTGTCTGCTGTGAGACCAGTTCTTACAAGGGAGTTGTGAACTTAATTTACACTTGTAAGAGAGATTTGAGGTGATTAAATTTTGAAGTACAGGACATTGTTTTCTCAGTGGGAAATTCCTCTTCCTGGGACTGTGTGTGTTCGAATCAACATAGATGCCAGCCGCCTCTCTATCCACATATCTGTGTTTCAGCTTCTCAGGATCAGATGAGCCAGCATAGACTATGCTGATATTATTGCTCCTTCTCTGCCCTGTGCTTCAGAGAGGCAAATACTGCTCTCTATCCACATATCTGTGTTTCAGCTTCTCAGGATCAGATGAGCCAGCATAGACTATGCTGATATTATTGCTCCTTCTCTGCCCTGTGCTTCAGAGAGGCAAATAAGATGGATGATATGGAGGCAGGCTGTCTGGCCACACTCATTCTGCCTACCCCCGCACCAGGAAGTCGGGCAAGGCAGCCTCCAAATCCCTAGCCTGCTCCGTGGGTGTAGTGCTGATTTCCCTATACTGACTTACCTTCTTTGCATCCCTTTTCCAGAATTTGGGGCCAGTGTAGACGTAGCCATGCAGTAGTTTGGGTAGGACTATGTAATTGTTCCAGGCCTTTGTCATATTTGCATGAATGACAGGGAATAAAGCTGGTGACAGTGTAGATGGCTACAGCTTCCCTCAGTTCACTGCTGCTAGAGTACTGCCTTTAGGAGATTTACATTTCAAGGTTTAACAAAGCTGTTATTACTTACCCAAGTGATTCTGATTCTATTCCCATTGGTCCCTGCCATTTGCTAAGAATGTGTTATAGTATCAGGAGTTTATTCACATTACATACCACCCAGGATAGAGAAAGTGGACAGATCTGGAGTGGACTCAAATACCACTGCTATTTTTCCCCATTTTTGTCCCAATTAAGTTCTGTAAACTGACACCTGAAACGAGATGAGTTTTACATGCTTTGGAATAATGTTGTAAGGAGTAAATACCATTCTAATTTTTATAAAGTGTTTACTGTGGGGAAAAAAAAATCCCATAACTTCTACTTCATCATGAAACAGCAAAGCTCTCCTGGAACCAAACACTTAGGACAAGCTGTGCAGTGGTGTATAATAGTCTCCGTAACTGAGACCTCCAGGGCTGACAGGTTGTTTCACATATTTCTACATTCGCAAATTAGTACTGGACAAGGCTGCTGCTTATTAAATACAGTCCTTTTGCATTTCTCCTTTGGAGATAATTAAACAGAAAACACAGCAGACATAACTTGCATCATATTTATTGTAGGCTACGTCTGCACTGGCAGCTTCTTGCGCAAAAACTCTTTTGCGGAAGAGTTCTTGTGCAAAAACTCTTCCAGAAGAGAGCGTCTACACTGGCATGTGCTTTTGCACAAGAGATGTGCTTTTGCGCAAGAGCATCCATACAAGTATAGACTCTCTGTTGCTCAAGAACGCTCTGATGGCCATTTTAGCCATAGGGCTTTCTTGCGCAAGAAATTCATGTTGCCTGTCTACACTGGCCTCTTGTGCAAGAACAGTTGCACAAGAGGGCTTATTCCTGAGCGGGAGCATCTTAGTTCTTGAGCAAGAAGCCCTGATTTTATACATTAGAACGTCAGTTTACTTGCACAAGAACACACGGCCAGTGTAGACAGGCAGCAAGTTTTTGCGCAAGAGCGGCCACTTTGGTGCAAGATCGTGCCAGTGTAGACACAGCCTTGGAGTCTTCCTTAATACCATCTTAACTTGGAATCTCTGTATTTTCACAGGGTTTTTTACTCAGATCTCTACATTAGCTGACGTGCAAGAGAACGTCATGGAATATCTCCATGTTCTTAGCCGACCAAAGGTTATTGATCAAGAGCATGATGTCGTATGGACTGAAGCATATATCGACAGCACTGTAAGTCTGCATGACAAAGCATTTAAAATACATGCTCACAGCAGAAGCTGAGAAACCTACTATATTGTTTAACAGTACTAGTTGTTCTTCTTTCCACCCTTTGTTTGTCACTAGATGGGGGTTAAGTTTTACAAAGTTTGAATGAACAAATTCCAGTATATCAATTTCTAGGTGCTTATGAGTGAATCTGCCATCACTGTTGCCTTTATGATCATAAAACGTGCAGTTTTAACATAAAGATTCACAACTTGGAATAATCATTTTTTCCAAACACCTTTAGATGAATGTACATTTAACTACAAGCTACATTAAATGAAAATTCTGTAATAGTCATTAATATATTTACAAAGGTAGGCCAATTACAAGGTGACTATTGATAAGTTTTGAATTGAAGAATGTTGAAAATGTTGTATATATTACATATTAAAATAGGACAAATCTTTTTTTTGTTCTGGTTGGTAGATGACTTGGCTACATTGCTGATGTATCATTTTCAGGTTCAGCACTTGAGAAATATTAAATTTAATGCATGTTTTCTTTTTCTTTTTTTTTGCAATAATTATTAATTGACCTACCATATTTTAGCCAGTTGTGTCTGACCCAGCTTGCTTAAGCTTTTTTTCCCCCTTTCTTTTCCTCATTTACTTAATTCGGAGTAAGATATTGTTATAGTAAATGTTCTTAATTTAATGTGAAATGCTTACAAATATTGGTTCTGATGAGTGGAAACTGTAAATCAGCAGCTGTAAAGATGTTAAATTATTGTAACCGTTCTTCAACCCTCATGAGAACTGGGCAAACTGAGAAAACCCTATCAGGTGAGCTTAATCCACTCTCCTCTTTTTTAAGGAAGTAGCAGAGGGGAAGCTTGAAACTTCTAAAAATGTCCCAAAAAAATAGTTGATGCTATTTTATTTTGGTTTCAGGTTAAGTCTTATATGTGAATTGTGATCTTGGATAGACTAATATAAAAAAATGAACATGGATAGTTACCAAAATAGACTTACTTGCAAATGTTGTTTTGAATGTAATCAACTTATTTCCTGTTTTACCACAGTAACACGGTAGATAGAGCATGATTAATTGGCACTCCTCCTCCTTCTTTTCTTCACTGAAATATTAGGGTGAGAGAACTTGAAAAGTATCTACACATTTTGCATAGTTGTGTACCTTAAGCCGATCTTCCTGATCTAGTGTAGACCAAGCCTCAGAGCCCAGCATATCTTCCCTCCGTAAGTGTGCGGCAGTCAGCGGGTCTGGGTCTATGACAGCAACTCGGAAGGCAGCACAGAAGTAAGAGTGGTGATACTGTGAATCCACTACAATAGGCTTGCAACCCTCTTTTGGGTCAGGACTCCCCAGTTGGAGAAATGCTGTATACTTATAGAACTGTACGGGGTAAAAGTACACAAAAGATCAGATTTCATGGGGAAAACCAGATTTCATGGAGAGACTAGATTTCATGCCTTGCGACACAATTTTCATGGCTGCAAATTTGGTAGATTAGTTAAAATACAGATTGTCAACATATTTCAAAATATACAAAGTAAATAGCCTTAAGTCTAATGTTAATATATTTTCAAGCAGCATTTTTATGTTTTTGCCTATGTGTAAATTTAGATTATTGCTGGAAATATTTTTTTCCATTTGTTTGTGTATATGGAAAAATGGATGTTTACTGTCACTTCTAGATATTAATCTAATCCTTCCAAATCCACTTCTATTGCTTATAATCCTAGGTAAATACAGCATGAGGGAGTAAATGCTATGCATACTAGAACAGTAGGATGAGCTTAGATAGCAGTCTGGAGGAGAAATCAGGAGAACAAAAACAGTTATATTCTTGAATAAAGCTACTATTTTAATCCAAATTAATGCTGATTTATATCAATCAAAATAAAACATTGTAAAGCTTTGCTTTCTGTGCTCTTCTCCCACCCCAGACTGATTAATTTAATTATCGGTTATTTCTAATTTGGGAAGTCGAAAGGGCCCCATTGTGCCTGGTGCTGTAGGGTAAATCCCTTTTCTTTTCTAATCAGAAGTGAGACTATTCAGAAAGAGGATAAATGGAGAAAACCATAAATCAAACCCTGGGGAAATAGTGCAGAAGAAGCCTTGTAGAAGATACCCCTATTCTCAGAACTAGATGTCTGTGAAAGTCCTAGGACCATGTCCTCAACCTTGCTATTGATGCATCAACTTCCATGGGAGCTGTGGATGCTTAGCTTTTGAAACAGAGCCACTTGCAAATGACTCTGTGAGTGCATGTGCCTAATTTTAGGCAACCAAGTGTAATATTATGCCCTCAAGTATAGAGATACTTGAGGGTGGAAGTTTGTGATATTGTGAATGAATGTGTGATGGATAGGAGGAGTGCTGAGCAGCACCTGGGGACTAAAGGGTTAAACTCAGGTAGCTAGTGGGGGTATTAGCAAAAAGCCAGAAAAGCCAATGGGAAAGACTGTTGAAATTTGAATTGTATGTAGATACTTAGCTGCTTCTTCCTTTGTGTGAGTTCTAAGTTAAGGGCTGGAGGAAGCAACATGCGGTAATCAGAACTACCGTGCCTCCAAGGAATTTGGGTATGGAAGTGGACTGGACCATGACAGGCTTTTGAGTAAATAAGGCAAAAATATATATTTAGTCGCGATCAGAATATTTTTCTCTGTGTAAAATCCATGTGCTCTTTCTCCCTCCTGCACTCACTATATAAGCTGAAACTAGAGATACTATGTTCACTGTGTTTTAATTTGTTCTTCTCAATTGCTCTGTAACACCTAGCAACCAGGTATGCTTTATTAAGAATTTCTTTTTGAGTTTTGTTAATAAAATATTTTTTTTTAAAGCAATGATTTAATTCTTGTGTCCTGGAAGGTAACAGGTCTGCGTGTGTACTTGCCTTGCCTGAGAGGTCAGCTATCAAAGACTTCTGTGTTTTCTTCTGTTTCTTTTTTCAGACTCTCCTATGGCAGAAGAGCTTGGGGATACCCCTGGGGAAGGAATTCAAGTATTCCTTCCTGGGTTTTTTTTCCAGGGTTCTTTAAAAATCACTTGATGGTGGAAGCCTGTCTTCCAGAGCCAGTGCATTGTGACACAGGGGAGGTTTTTGTAAGCAGAGCCTATAAAGGCAAGGTATTTAAGGTCTTTTGCGGGCCCCCACCTTCTACATTCACAGTGCCAGAGTGGGGAAAAACCCTGACAGAGTGGCTTTCAAAGGAGGATATAGACCTCCTAAAGAGTGTGTAGAATCACTGTCATTGTTGGGTTTTAAGAACTGTTTAGACAAACTCTTTTCTGCCTTCCCTTTCAAAGGCTCTGCCATTGTTTGCTCCAACTCTGCACCATTTGTCACTTGCTCTCCCCCACCTTCACTCACTTTTGGTGGGCTAGGGCAGGGTATAGGAGTGTAACGAATCTGGGTGAGGACTCCGGGCGGGGGTGGGGGAGAGGGGTTTTGGGTATGGGAAAAGGCTCAGGTCTGGGTCATAGGCTTATGAAGTTTGTGGCGTTTCAGGCTCCAGGGGGGAATTTGACTGTGGAAGCAGACCCTGGGCTGAGGGCTGGAGTGTGTGGGAGGGGTGAGGACTCTGGCTGGAGGGTGGGCTCTGAGGTGGAGCTGGGAGTGATGGGTTAGAGGGTTCCAGAATGGACTCTGTGCTGGGGCAGGAAGTTGGAGTTCAGAAGATGGTTTTGGGTCTGGCAGTGCTTTCCATGGCTTCTGGAAGTGGCCACCAGATCCTTGTAGCCCATAGGCACATGGTCAGCCAGGGAGGCTCCACATGCTAGCCTTGTACCCACAGTCACCAACCCTACAGCTCCCATTGGTCACAGTTCCTGGCCAGTAGGAGCTGTGGAGCTGGCATTCAGGCAGAGGCAGTGTGCAGAGCCTCACTTGCTGCCTATGCACTTGTGAGCTCCAGAGACCTGGTGCTCATTTCCTGGAGTTACACAGAAACAGAGCAGGTAGGGAGCCTGCCTTAGCTTGGGGACAAGGAGAAGTTGAGGGAGAAGGGAAGGATTTGATCTGTGGGGCCTATGTAGCCCCTGGAACTCCACAGACCCCAGTATGAGAAACACTGATCTGGGTATACTTAATCTTGCCTCAAACTGGGGCCAGGAGCATTGACTGGATAGCCTTTGAAGTCCCTTCCAGATGTAAATTTTGATGATTCTATGTTCAGCTACAGCTGGTCAGTGCAAGTGGTAATGGCTTGGGAAAGGGGATGTGATTAGGCATCCTGACACCCCAGTGGTACCATGCTGAAGGAATGGCCCTTTGAGGCCATATGTAATTAGATATACTGACCAGTCCTTACATTTGGAATGAAACCAGGCACACACTGGGCAGCAAAAAAATTGAGAGGAACAAAGATGGCTAACTGTGCTATGAAAGCTAGTCCAGGACTGGTGCTTCAGTTTTCACTTCGTTAATATTTGCAAGTGAGACTTTGTGGATTTAACAGAGGGTGAAATTTGGCCAATCAAGGCCCCTTTCTGTTTTTATGATGAACATTTTCTCTCATACAAATATGAGAGTGAAATATTCTGCTGGCAATTTCCCCACTGTAAAAGCTGTTCAGATAATTGTTTCACACTGTTCAAATCAGAATAGAAGCCACTTTCTTATGGTAAATTTATAGTCCATTGACACTGCTGTCAACCATCATTGTTCCTCAGATCCCTCTGCTAAGGGAAGAACTCTCTGTACCAATGATTCTAGCTTGATGTAATATGAGGTATATTGAGAAAATGTTTGAAAATATGTAAATATATGTTCCATCTTCTTTCTGGTTCAACAGAAAGACTTGCAAGAGATAGGTTAGTCAGGCCGAGATTCATAAAACAGAAGCAATGATATAACACTATATATATACACTATAGTATATGTCCTCTGTGAAATTAAAGAGGGCTTTTCATTTTCATAAACATTTATAATTTGTGTCATTGATTGTTAATCACTTTAATGGGCCTTTTTTGAGGCTTGTGATGAGGCAAAT